AGCCAAGATCAACAGAATCGTCACAGAGGCTGTACACGACGCCAGATAGGTCAAATCGGGAGGTTCACAGCGTCAGGAAGCACTTGCAAGATACTCAGGTCGTCACTCGAAGGGTAGGAAGGATCTCTCACAGCGTTCTGATATACGCAGACCCCACGAACGGCAGCATAAGACGAACCACGAATCTCGAGTTGCCAGTAGGACAGTAAATTTTGACCCGCAAGTACACACCAAGTAGGAGAACCTCTCCAGAAAGATTTCACAACCAAAACACGGAGTCGGATACGAACCTCGCCCAGGACAAGAGGATCAGCACAATAATGCGGGAACAATCCAAGGATGGTTTCAACGACGGCGGACACTTCACGCCTAGAACCATCAGCAAGGCGAACAGAGCTCAAATCTGCTTCACACTTCTCGAACGGAGAGCCCCGCAGCACAGATCTGACGAGTCCGACAACAAAAGATAGCTAAGACCGGCCCCCGAATCAATGAAGACCGGTGTGGGTGGGGTAGAACGCACATCCGAGGGGGGAGTGACCTTCCCGCGTATAATAATTTCAGGCGGATTTCCCGCTTAGACTTTAAAAAGAGCAGAGAATCAAAAGTAGACAAGGGTACGTCCTCGACAAGATCGAGGTCATGTGAGACACCAGCATGATCATCGGAATGGTCGACTCGAAGAATAGTCTCACAAATATCTTCGGCCGACCGGTCTAGTTTCCCGTCTCCGAGGAAGCATTAGCTCCGGCAGCGACTTGGCGCCCTCGGAATTGGAAGGGTCTGATTCGAAACTGATCACTTTCAATCTCTTTAACAGCATTGAGACCTTCAGTCTTGTTGTTGTAGGCCACGAACCACAGCTGTCCTTTTCCCGAACGAAGTGAGATTGTCTTAGACTCATCCGAGCGAACCACTTTATCAGAGGGGCCTTGTACCCCAGGCCCACCGATCACATGGTCAGCCGCAAACTTAGAGGCCCACCTTGACAGATTCTCTCTCTTTTGCTTGGGTTTTCCGTCGTGTAATTGGGAGAGAGTGTCAATGGCGGCACGCGTGTGCAAAGTTGTGCGTGCAGCCTCCTTCTCAGACGCCTTTGAAGAACTTGACTGTGGAGTAAGCTTGATCGAAGCATCACGGAAGGCACGACAGCTCTTCCTTATGCACCTCACTACAGTCGGTCCCACACGAACGCCATCGAAGGGCCAAAGGAGCTCCCACTCCAGATCCTCAGAGGTGGTACATTCGGTGTCACGCGACACACCGATGGAGTGGTGGACGGACTCGATCACATCCAAGCGTAGATTCTCAGGCAACTTGTTGACAACCGCGCGAACCATAACCCTTCTCTCGGAGGCCTCATCCTTATAAACGTCTTGATAAAGATGGTAGAGTGCCGAGCATTTCCGAAGGAAGTCATCCTCGTGCTCCAAACCTCCGAACTTCAAGGAATGGAGAGCCGAACGGTACTCGTCCCTCAGCTGGTCCTTACGGGAGAACTGCTGCCAGAGTTCATGACGAATAGAAGCCCAATCATATCTCGTTGTCCTTGCAACATCATGAGCGACAGCCAGTGCTGAGGGACATGGCTTCAGACTCGTCGCTAACTTTGTAAAGCAGGTAAACTTAAACTTCGCGTGCGGGACGAACGAACCGGAGGCGCTGAGCTGTCCAGCACCAGTCTCCACAAACAGACTTTCTACAAGGGAAACATGAGAAGCTACATAAGGACCAGACTGCACTTCAGGTACGGGCAATCGGTTCAGGTCAGCCAACGTTGTAGATGGGTGTTCATCCACTCTAGGGACCGAATCGATCACGTTACCGGCCAGGCTCGGGGTCAAGCTCACATATTGGGGAGACGCAAAGACTCCTTCACGATCGAGGTGAAGAAGTCGTATTCTGATCCTCGACACTCAAACGAGCTTGGATTGCACGTGACAATCCTGCCTGACGGGCCAGATCACTGCGCTCAGCGTCGATGGTAGCCTGAGCCTCAGCAATGCTAGTCTCGATCTCAGAAATACGGTCAGGGCGGCAGATTCGCGCCCTTGTAAGTCGTCCAGAACCTGCGAGTTGTCGTCCGAACCGTCGTCGATCAAATTATTAAGGTCTTCACGGACTTGGGCTAGGGAGCGGCGAGCCCTGGCAAGCTCACGACGAAGCCTTTGTAGATCAGATTGATGACCAGTAGATAAGACGGTGGTAGCGGGGGGAGGGAGGGGGAGATCTCCCAGGTGTCGCCATAATAGGATTAACAAACGAAACTCGCACTCGAGCCAAGATGGCTACGGAGTTATCCAATAGAGGATCTGGCTTTAACAGCTTAACTACGAACGTACGCACATCGCGCGGGGGCTCGCGTGTCGATCAAGAACAAGCGGGCGCCCACGATCAGCGCACGATATGATAAGTAGCCGAGGACAAGTCAAGAGTAGAAATTTCGCTATGGATATCATCCCACTCGATATCAACATCACCGGAGGCACGAAGAGCAACAACCGTACCCCTATAATAACGCTTTTGCGGTCGTTTACGACCGGAAATGATTAAATCATATAGTACACTGAGACGCATACCAACTAAGCTCGGAAGAGTAGTATCACAGTTGTCTCTAGTACTATCAGAGGCACATCACGCCGTAGGACAACCACATTCGAGAAGATTATGGAGTTTGGGTGCCGCAAACTATTGTCTTCGTCTCGTCGAGATGGATCGCTCATCTCATTATCCACTCTCTGGAGCCTCGTTCGTAGAAAGACTGCGACGCAGGACGGCTTCTCGTCTCTGCGTCCTATCATAGTGCTCCAGCTTGCGTGTCGGGTCTAAACTGCCTTGTCTCTCTATTGAACTACTGGACTGTCATGTGGGCTAGCGGAGGGTTCTTCACAATAGGAGAGAAAACTTTTGTCATCCACGACATTGGAAAGCAAGTCAAAATAGTGCACAATCTCGATTCGCCTAGCGTCCACGAGATTGCAATGTCAATTAAAGAGACCCATCGAACACTTCTTCCGGTCCAACGAAGATCTCGGAATGATGAGCAACGTCTTCAAGACGCTATTCTGTTGGTTCGCTACCGTCATTCTGGTAGGAAGCTGCAAGGCCAACTCGGATAGTGAATGCGACAGAGTGAAAATGGGACCACTACTCTTGCATTTGCTGAGCTGTATTCAGGGCCTGAATCTCAGGCCACCACAAGGAAGTTTTTCGATCTCGCGATCGAACCTCGGGTCCTCATGATGTAGCCGAGTAATATAATCTCATTTGTCGATTTACTGAGGCAGGGACAATCCATGCCTAGAATCATATTGAAGGTCAGCAAATATCCTGACGATATCAGCATCCGAGCTAGCGAAGGAGCTGTCGGAGTCCGCCGCAAATCCTACAGTAGCTACAGGGGCAACCTCTCGATCGTGAACAAAGTTTGTTCAACAGACGCCGTAGTCACTGACCACTGGTCAGAGGCAACATCAAAAAAACTAAAGGTGCCACGAGCCGTCCAATTAGAAGCTCCGTAGCGGCACAGAGGTCACATCCTCGTCCTAGCCCAAAGATCAGAAGTGATGACTAGGATTACGTTCTAATTCGGATCTACGGAGTTCTAGTCCCGATCGGCGATCAGGTCATGATTCCTGGCTTCGCTGCTTGGTTCACTTGGTTCTTTTCTCTCTCTCCTCTCTGCTACGTTAGTGATTCCAAGCAGTGCATCCGAAGTCTCTCCGTGAATGTGGCTCAGAGAGCGAGGACCACGGAGGCAGCAAGCGGCTTCCAAGTTGCATTCCGGGGTACGACCCGAAGATCATCGACTGAAGCTCTTCTCACAAGAAATTCCCCCTGTACCTCGACAGACAGCGTCTCTTATTGACTCATCAAACTGAACTCTCCGAGTGAGAGAAGACTTCTCCCCACAATTCTAGGTCAGCGAGAGTACGCTGTGAATTCTCCAACATTCTCCAACTCTTGCTTTGGAGGATGTGTTATGACTAATTGAAACAGAATCGCACAACTGATGTACTCGCTCTCCATCTCCGTGCCTGTTTCCGATTTTATTTTATCCTCTTCAACTCCGTGCCTATGGCGGGAAAGCGATGTCGCAAGACGAAAGCCGACTATCGCCGCCACTAGAGAGCTCGCAAGTTGGAGGGGTGTTCCATCGCGTTGGTAAAACTTCGCGAGCTGCGCTGGATAGAGAACACTCCAGAGGGAGAGATGACAGCTAACAACTCTATGACAGGAGCGTCAAACTCGACGCCAAGTTATTAGATAACTTTCCCGGGATAAATAACGGCCAACTCAATGGATCATCTTCAAGCTGCACCCAACCGCAAGCACTCCTTTGAAACGGGCCTAACCTTACCGTTGTCTCTCGAAACAGCCATCGGAATTCTCTCTCTGGGTCCCCATAAGATCATCCGCCGCTGGAGATTCGCCATGGAAGCGGTCGGCAGCATTGAGAGTAGCAACCACCGATTTGCAAGCCTCTATCCATCCCGACGTTGCGAAGACTTCCGACAACCCGAACTTAGACCTTTTGAGGGAGCTCATACAGTTGAGTAGATCACCAGAGTAGCGTACCCAATGAAATGAGTGATCACAATTTGGACGCTGGGTCGAGAAATGCTGCTTCTGGTTCCCGTCCTGGTACTGGTATGTCGAGTTCTTGTTTGGTTAGCAGTGCTACGTCCAGCAAACTACAGCGTTTGGCTATTTACAAGGCTATTAGTTTGGTCCTGGTCGAACAGTTGCGTATGTCCGATTCAGACCGCGTCCATACCCGTGATGCCACTATCAGCTGAGCAGGTAAGTTAAATCACCGACGTGCCTCGTAGCAGGCTTTATCGACAAAACCTGCTGATTTGCGATCAGTGAACTGTACAGAAGACATCGCCCCATTCCGAGCTACTGTTGTCATCGTCGACGTCTACGCGGGTGCTACCATGTCCGAAAGGACTCTCCGTCTAGTTATTACCGAAGGTGAATCTTGGCATATGGATCCAAGATAGTCCGTTAGTGAGGTCTGTGACCGTCTAGTGCTTTGTGCCAAGCATCCGACCCAGCGAACTCATCGATTCATAATCGATGCCGGATCAGCCTAGTATGTAATACGCTTCGGGTTTGTAGTCTGCCACTTATTTTCCAATCATATGAATACATATGATCGGTCCCGGAGTAAGCTTCAGAGGCCTTGAGAATGAAGGATTCAGATACTGGGTATGGATTGCAGGCCTGGTGTGATCCAATAGCGATCGACGATCACGATGGTAGGGATGCCTCACGAGGGACAAAGCCAAGCTCGTCATCCGGAGATAGGCTCATTCTGGCAAGTGTTACAGAGCACCCATTTGACGTTGTCCTAGGTGGTAGAATCGAGCACGACTTCTGAGTAGTTCGAGAACTATACAGTCCCTGAATAAGACTTTGGCAGTTCAATTAAGATGGTTCAACATCGCTGGGGCATCGCAACAGGGAGTCTCGTAGCGTGGAAAACTTCAGGCAACCCATGACGGATTGAATCCAGATCTATGACCGGCTGTACACATTTAAAAAGAGTGGGTCTCTGATTGGACCTATAGACGAAAAAACACACGATTCGCGTGTGATATGGGTGGACCTGTTACATAGATAATCTTCTTTGCCACATTATCGCTCGTCTCGTGCCATCTTATCTTCGTTGTTTCAGGGAACATCGAATAGAGAGACGTTCGATTTGTACTACAGCATGATTGATATACCTTTATAAGTTATACGTATTTACCGAGTTATACTTCCTTCAGCATACTCTGGTGGAGATGTGAAGAAGACTGATCCCCATGGCCAGCGAGCGTGCAGAGCAAACAGTAGCTCGTCTGGTTCTAAGCTATGCATGGCAGAGGCTCGCCTTTGCAGCAAATTAGACATCTCAGCCATTTATTCCTCTACTAAATGTAATGATGAGCGTTAAGAACAGGTCTTTCTATGATGTGTTACTCGTTAGTTGCTAGTCGACAATGTACTTAACTTCTATGAAACCATGATGCAGAGACTGATTATCCGTGTGATTTTGGCCAAAACACATCATCTGTGACACAGATACCAAATCGAGTCAAACAGAGAGCATGGACCCGGAAATCAACTTGATGATACTAGCGTCACCAGTCAGATTCATGTATGTTGGTGGGTGCCGATGCACTGACAATACGTAGCATAAGAGCATAGTAGTGGATCGACAAACCGAGTTCATGAAGTGGGCTTGTCCGCTCGGACTGTGCGTTACCGTCGTCGTACTGCGAGGATCAAACCCCATAACTCCAAACTGACACATCCAAACCAACGATCTGTTATTCTCGATTGAAATTGTTAGAGGTGTGGTTTCTGGGCTGTCCATCACCAGGCTTGGTCTTGACGACGGCATAACTGTCGCAACCTCCCCAGATCTTCTCAGCGGCCTCATCAAAATCGATAATAGTCGATTCCGAATCGAAGTGGATCTTGAAGATAGCAGTGG